GTGTAGCCCCGCCCTAAAGCATCCCCTGCTTTATGGTCTGTTTGACTCTAAATGGACCATAATGTACTAAATGAACATCATGCTGTATTGAAGAAGACTTGAAACTAGAGATTGAGACCATAAACTCATGTTTACAATGTTTACTGAGGTAATAAATCAAGAGAGAAGTAGTCATTTTCTCATAGACTTCTATACAACCAGAGGAGTCGCCCCCTGGTGGACACTAGAGAGAATGCAGCTTTAACACATGAGTGTGTCTGTCTCTACAGGTGAGTTTGTCTCTGACGTGGACCTGATGTTCTCCAACTGTCTTCAGTATAATCCTCGTCACACTAACGAGGCGAAGGCGGGACATCGTCTGCAGCGGTTCTTCCACGCTGAGCTCAGCAGGCTCGGCCTTTCAGGCCGCAGCACGGCATCGCCGACTAAACGCTCCCGACACTGAACCCTGTGACATCACTGCCGTCCTCTCTGCTCATTGGTCGATGAGTCGCTACCTCGTGGCCTTTGACCCCCGTGACAATCAAAACAGTTCAGGGTCAAAGGTCACGAGGTCCAACACCAACAAACCAAACTCATGAGAACCACAACCAACCAGTCTGTTTAGAGTCACATGGTCACATGACCACAGTGTTGATCTGCTTTGAGTTCATGAAAGTGTAGAAACCTGCTAAACCTTTTGGGTCATTACTTCCTGTCCTTGTTAGTGGACAGATGGTGACCACGTTGCAGACATTCCTGTAGGACAGCAGAGACGAGAGAGACGGTGGAAATGTAGCAGACATTCCTGTTGGACTATAGAGACAGACAATAGAGACGGTAGAGAATGAGACAGAGACCGTGGAGTCCACTAAACTTGACACCAGCAATTTTAAAAATACTCCTATCAAGCCGTTTGTTTTCTCTCAGGGACAAAAAATAAATAAATTTAGATTTGAATGAAAAATATTTTCTAACGTAACGTCTAGTTTTTACTGAAGCAGAGCGTCACCGTGGCAACAAGGTTTTAGGCTAAATGTCTTAATTTGTGTCAACGTTCTGAACTCAGGCCTTAAAGGGACAGTTCAACACTCATCTTTCACTCTCGGCTTAGCTTAGCATAAAGACTAACACCAGACGTGAGGTGACTTTTGATGAAAGTAAAAAGGCAATAAATACGTGAACTGTTCCTTTAACGGATACAAAACTGACCCTCTGTGGATTTGTAGTTTTTGTATTTTTGACTACAGCAACGTTTTTCCTGCTTTAGGCTGTTTTTGTTTGATGCATTCTTCTTCTGTGGTGTTAGTGTGACTACTGCAGCTCAGTGTGGGTTAGGGTTATGTGTGTGTGTCTGTGTGTGTAAGCTGTACACTACACTGGAGCCGCCGCTGCGTATTTATTTAGTTCTGCGTTGGCTTTATTTATGACTGATAGAAACATCCTGATGCTGTTTGTTGTTCTCATGTAAAAATAAATTGACTTTTATAACCTGCTGTCTGATGGTCTGATACACACTAATGGGACCTAAGTATGAGGCTGAACCAGGTCTAACTATAAACCTGAGTCAGCCCCAAGTGTGTCTGATCCATGTAAGGGCTCCCCCCCCTCCTCCCTCCTACTCCTCCGGTCGGACGGCCACATTCCCCGCTACCTCTCACCCCAGAGAAACCCCGATCTGACGGCCAAGCAGCGCGGACAACATGGTAAGAAGCTCCGGTAGACACTCCTACGGGTCGGAGGTGGTTTAGTGAGCAGTGCGGGTCTCCGGTGGACCGTTATGTGGCCGTTATGTGGCTGCCTTAGTAGCGTGACGTTAGCAGCATGGCCGCCGCTCCCGTTAGTTAATGTTAGCCGCTCGGTCCACTACATCGACCGTTACTCAGTGGTTACGTCACTCTACCGTCTCCTGGTAACGGGCTTTGATCATACCAACGGTAACGTGCGTTTAGCCAGTTTAATCTCTGGAGCGGGTCCGCGTTCCGGGCCGAGCCGGGCCGGTCCAGCCCCCAGGCCGAGTGTGGCCCGGGGCGGCCATCTTAGTCCCGCTGACCAGACCGGGGCAGTGCTGGACCTGGACTATCCCGGACCAGTTGAAGGACCCGGTTCAAGAGTCTGGACTCAGTCCGGGCTCATGTTTAGTTAGCAGACAGTCAGTCAGTCAGTCAGACACAGACAGACAGACAGACAGACAGGCTGCAAAGTCACTGCTGACTGACTGTCTGTGTCTGACTGACTGAGGGCCTAAAGGGTTCACCAGTTATTAGGGTTAGTTACTAGTGGTCAGCCTGTTGGTGGTAACTATCCAGTATCAGTAACCAGTTAAACTAGCAGATAACTAACTGTTGTTTTAATTAGTTGTTTATTTTTATCATAATTAATATTGAATAACAACTCACTCAGATTCATCGCTTATTATTTTAATATTTTATCAAATTAAATCAGTTTGTGTATCAAAGTCAACTGTACTCACTTTACTGCTGTACAAGTGCTAGTACTACTGTGTTTAAAATGAGCCTCAGCGTAGAAGTACTTCTTAAGCAGAAGTACTCCTTTCATAGTGTTGTATAATACTATGATATGATTCTGTTTAAATACTAATAAATTCAGTCTGAGATACTTCAAATACCACTGGTAGTATTACTACTGAGTCAGTGCTATACTGTAGTACTACATCATATCTCAGAAGTACATCACGTGTCCTTTCATGCAAACACCAAGTACAGTTATTAAATAAATGTAAAAAGTACCATATTTCCTGTGAGATGTATCACAAGTACATAAATACTGAATTAAAGTACAAGTACCTCAACACTGATACAAGTACCTGATAAATGATTATTGACCAATCAGCAGCAGTGATGTCACACAATTCATGAATGAATGCTGATTGAATGTGATCAATAAAGTTGACGTGATTCAGAATCTGAAAAAATAATATAATATAATAATGGTTGTAATGTAATTATGCACCATAAGAACAACGACTTGATGCACTGCAACAGGCTTTTACTCCGAGGCTCGTGTACACGCTGTTAATGCCGTCATGCTGACTGACTGTATATATCTCCTACCGCCCACCAGGTGGCATGGTTTTACTGTGAACATCACAATAGTAGTATAAAATCATGTCTAGCTGCTATCTTTTAGCTAAATAATAGCTGTCTGTCTAGCTGCTGTCTGTCTGTCTGTCTAGCTGCTGTATGTCTGTCTAGCTACTAGCTGTCTATCTAGCTGCTGGCTAACTGTCTAGCTGCTGGCTAACTGTCTAGCTGCTAGCTGTCTGTCTAGCTGCTAGCTGTCTGTCTGTCTGTCTAGCTGCTAGCCGTCTGTCTAGCTACTAGCTGTCTGTCTAGCTCCTGGCTAACTGTCTAGCTGC